GCAGATTTGCTTTATAATAAGGGGAATTGTTTAGAGCAGGATTGTCTGTCATTTCTGTAATGGCTGAGGTCCTGCATGTTTTAATGTTTTTTCCCATAAAATGGGAACACTTTAATGCTAAACAAGTCTTCATGTGCGAATGATTGATTGACCCTAATAATCTCACAATGGAGAAATTTACTCATTACATCAGCTCAAACACTCAAAGGAGAAGAAGAATGTGCCAGAGAAAGAAAAAGCTGTATGGGATATAAACTGTATACATATATTTATATATATAAAACACACTGTATATAGGCTACTGTATATATCCCATGTAAGGTCAACAAACATATTTCTAAAATTTTCTTCTTTTAGCTCTGGGATATTTCAGAAATTAGAAGTATCCTGGCCAGGGGAGATGCTGAGAAACTAGAGCCTGTTGGGATCTGGAGGCTTGTCTACTTTCTCCACCAGAGGGCGCACGAGATCTCTCCTGAGAGCATGAGCTGACTGCGACACCTGTTTCCCATCTGCTCATCAGGAGCCCTTCTTAAGGAGGAGGAGGCTGACACTTCCCTGCCAGAGTGTTTGCCAGTATTGGTACAGCAAAACCTGAGCCAGCTTTATCTGATCTGTAACCCTGATTTTTGTGAACCAATCTGATCATGTGTTCTTCTGCCTCACAGATCCTGACTTATCTGGAAATCTGTCATCCTGGAGAAAATAATCTCTGTCTGGAATCTGCCTGCCTGCCCTCCGCTTCAGTCTCTGCCTCTGCCCTCAGCCCTCTGCCTGCCGACTAGCCTCTGGACCCACAAGGTTCCCCCCTGCTGATCAGATTCCTCTCTGAGCAGGTATTTATCCCATTCATCTGTAAACTGCGAGTTTCCTGGATCCACTCTAACTGCTCTGTCCTCCTCAGTGGCTTCCCTCCCGTGACCAGTCTGACGAACCAAGAACCTGTGCACCCTTTTACTTGTGAACTTTGTTAAATAAATCATTTAACTTTTTCCCTGCCTCAAGAGTGATTTCTGCATGTGGGTTAGACGCCTAGACCCCAACATGACAGAGCCAGAGTTCTAATAAAATAAAAAGAGATCACCTTTTTCTCTTACTACTTATGTAGCACTAAATAATCAAGCTCCATCATATCTCAGAGAACTAATTGTCCCTTATATTCCCAACTGTGCACTTTTGCTCCCAAACTGCAGATTTCTGATGGTTTCTAGAAACCACTTTAACATGACGATTGTTAAGTTTGCATAGAAGTCTGTAGTGATACTTCTTATCACAAGAAAAATGGGCTTATTATCCCCAAGCCTACATGTAGCCACACGCTTGCTGTATTTTTGTCTCTGCTTGATAGTGTAATACAGGCATAAACAAAACATTCCCTGAATGGATAAACAGACCTGGCTCTAAGTATTCCCACTATTTCTCCTTAATTTTTTTTCTTTTCCTCCTCACTGCGTCCCTCTTTTACCATTTTTCACCTATAATTCAGACTTCTAACTTTGCTCTGTTGCAGGTGACTTTCTGTTCAATCATCTTCGAGTTCTTCTTGTCTCCTCTTCTTCTCTCCTCAGCTTTCCACATGTCTTCACCTATTTCTTTATCCACTTGACTTGCAGTTATCTGTCAAATTCCACCCTGGCAGCTGCTGTGCCTGAATCAATCAGAGTTGACTAGCTTTCGGCTTATCTGCACCCATGGTGATTGATTTTCCTCGTTAGGTATAATTTGATGCTCTATCCCATCTCTTCCAGAGCAAATTAAATTGTAGTTGAGTCCAATGCGCTGGTGTGAGTGAGCATGTGCATGTGTGAGAGGAGCAGGAGAGAGGGAGACGGAAATGCACGGCAGGCTCAGAAAACTGCTTTCTGTGTACAATTTGGTGTCCAGGTTAAGTTCACGTGTTAAAGCTGATTAGTAACGACTGATTTCATTGTTTGGACATTTACAATCAGTAAAAACAAAAGGAAAGAATTGAAAATAAATAGCAACTCCATGTGGAACATGGTGGTGGCAGGATAATGTTCAGGGATGCTCTTCATTAGCAATTCATTAGTGACAAGAAGGCTGGTGAGAATTGAAGTGGACAAGGTTGGTGCAAAATAAAATGTAAAAGAGGAGGAAAACCTGTAAGAGGTTAGTTGGAGGTTAAGTTTTAACTAAACAACCCTATGTCATGGTTTTGGTTCTGTTTAAGTTTTATCTTTGAGTTTTCATTGGTTTTATTTTCATTTTGTCTCATTCAAGTTTTTTTCTATTTATTTGTTGTTTTTTTCCTTAACAGTGTCCTGTCTGGCGATGTGGCAACACGAATAACTGTCCTGATGCCAAAAAAAGAGCCCAACAGATTTTGATTTCACAAGTGGAGCAGTACGGCTATCGCCATAGTGTTCTGCTGGATTTATGCATACAACTAGCTTTATTATAATTAAGCAGGGTGTATTTCAGATTATATGGACACTGCAATGTAAGTAGAACAGGAAAGGAGAAACACAAAAAAAGGAGAAAAGATTAAAGAAAGAGGAGAAAAAAGGGAGATAATGATAAAACGTCTTCAGTCTGCTTCATCAGCTGCAAAGAGATGTAAAAAGAACAGCACAACCAACGGATATAGTATAAGAGTTACACTAAAGTAACACCTTGATACTATCGCTGAAGTATAAGTAGTATTATTTAATCTGACATGTATACTGTGGTAGCTGAAGATAAGAATATGGGCTTTCTGTATGGAAGGGAATCTCTGAGTACCTGGAAATAAGCACCTGTAGTTGTTTGTGAAAGTGCGCTTGCGCATGTAAAGTATATCCAAAGGAAAAATGCTCCATAGTGGTTGTGAAGAGCCAAAGACGTTCCCCCCCAGACCACCGAGGCGAGCATCCGCTCTTTGGGTCCAAAAGGACCCAAAGAGCAAAGGCGCGCAGGAGGGTCCAACCCAGGAAATCTGACCCCGCACCAAGAGAGGAGGAGAGACGGCCTCGAGGAAGTCCCCAAGCCACCGCCATGCCGGAACCCCCAGTAGCTGCGGGGATGAGTCCGCAGGCTCTGCCAGCAGCCAACCACACTGAAGTATATCCAGCCATGGGCCCCTAGGGACCCGAGGCCCCAAGGGTGCCCCAACCCCTGGTGAGAGCCCCAGCGGGGCCCAGGGGCCAGGCCCCACGGAGCAGCCGCCAAGAATAAGCAGGATCCGCCCGGGTATCCACCCCGAAATGACAGAGCACCACCAGTGCACCGTAAGCCCAGGCCAGCCATCGGAGGGGGGCAGGACAGGGGGGAATGGGCTCCGCACTTAGCAGAGACTTGAGATGTTCTTGGGAGAGGGAGCAGTTCAGACCCGAATCTGACAAGTAAAAAAAATACACAGTCTCAATTACACCTTCCCATCCTAGTGCCCCCACTTGCAACACACAGTCTCTGTGAAGAAAAAAAAAAAGAAAAGGCGGACGCACATTCATACATAACACTCCCCGGCACTGTGGGGTCCTCGGTCCTGGGATTACTGGATGACCCAGTAGTGAACCTGAAATCTGGATGGGGGAAAGGTGGAGCAGTGTCAACGCCACACTAACCCATCTAGTTCAGACTTCAGACCCGGCCCTCCACCCTGCACCCGGACCAGACAACCCCCAGTACAAGCCACCCAACCAGAGCCTCCAACCCCCCCACCCCTAAATAATTCACAGGGCCACTTTCTCCCCCTCAATACACCAGTCACCCCTCCCTCCACCCCGCTTTGGGGAGAGCACAAATGACAGCCCCGGGACCGGCAGGCCACCCGAGCCCCGCAACAGTCCACTGCCAAGACCCCGCATTAGGAATCCCGCTTCTCAGGTGTAATCAAAACCGGGAGTACCAAAGGTGGTGTCCGGCACAGTTCACCCCCCCTCCGGAAGACAGGAGGCGCCAGCACAGCCCCCAATCGACAACACAGAACCCTCAATGTCTAAATTGAGTCTAAATGCGAGAGGAGCTGGGGGGGAGCCACCCGAGGTGAGACCCCATAAAATAACCCCCCTCCCAGTGTCCTTACCCCACATCACCCCAAGACATGGATGTGTGTTCTGAAAATGTTGTAGATGAAAGTGTCTAAAATGCAAAATATAATCGGGGTGGGGGACGTCATCAGATGGGCTAAGATGGGACCCTCCAGTAACGACCCCCTACGCAAGATCCTACATGTGTGGCAGTGTGATGGAGCAGGCAGAGGGAGGAGTCCAGGGATGGGTAGAAAAGGACTAGGGGGCTTACTTTGCGCCCTTAAAATGCTGGAATCACGTCTTTAAGTTAAGATAACTTACTTTTCTTAATAATGTATGGAACTATTCTGTGTTCTGTGCATTTGTGGATCTTGTTTGCTTGTGTGAATCGTTCTTTGTGTCTGTGAATCTTGTCCTTTGCATGTATGAATCACATGTGTATTTCTGAAAATTAAGACTGATCTACCTCCATAGAAAACCACCTTCTTTATGGTTGAAGGAACAGAACAATAGACAAAGTATAACCATAAATCTGGTTAAGATGCTTTAGCCACATTAATAGCAAAGCATTGAACGATTCTTCAAATTAAAGTGAAAAATAAAATCCTCCACATTCATAAAAAGCTTTTTCCAGTCAATGGCAGTTGTTTTAGGAGCTGCAAAAATATTTCTAAGGTTTTGGGGCTTTTTTACGCAGGACAGTTTTATAAGTTTTTGATTTTACAAATGAACGTATGACTTTAAAACTGACTTCCGTATTTCCAGGTCTGATAAAGCTGATTTCAAATCCAGTTTTATCTGAAATTATTATTATCTTCAGATTTTCTCTTATCTGTGTATCTGTATGCACTTACAAATTTCAGCTTACAACAAAGAAAAAACCCTAGTTTTCCTTTTGCATGCATGAGATAAAGTATTTGACCCATAGAGACCTTCTGTAAAGACAGGCAGTGGTGCAATGCTAACACGCTGAGCTACTTTTGTAGAGTACATAAACATTGTCTGGCAGTAAGGAAACAATTCACTTACCTCATCTTTATCTTCTGCCTGGATGAAAAGAGGCAGGGCAAAGCCCACTTGGGCAAGTTCAGTGATGCGAAGCCGGTACTCGGAGCTGTTGAACTTTGGGGCATTGTCATTCTTGTCAATTAATAGGATGGTGAAGGTGGTCATCACTGTTGCGTCTGATGGGCTGCGATCATCCTTCAACTCTGTGGCCTTATAGAGAGCAACAAAAGAAAGTGGCAAAAAAGAAAAATTGAAGAAGGTATGAAATGCAGCTGATTGGACTCCAAATGTCATTCTATATAGGGGCGGTCAGCGCGCAATCTCACAAGATATTTACAGCTGTTTATTTATTGGATCAAAAGGTTGACAGGTGACCTCCAAGCAATCATAGAAATTGCCTCAAACAGAAGGCAGGAGTGCCAGTACATGCACATCCTCACATACACATTCAGTCGGATTCAGGAGAAATGAGTGTCTCTGAGACACAAATTCAAATCCCCTTGTTGTTTCTGAAAAAAGAAAAGAAAAGAAAAGACAAATCGTGGAAAATCGGTATGAAGCATCGTCTTTTATTGATAAAGAAAGGTCACAGTAAGTACCAGAGCAGGCGCGAGCAGCATGCTCATCCCTGGGTAATCAAAATAGTTTAGCCTCCAAGTCTCCTTAATCATTTGACCTCCACCTCTGTCTGTTTGGTGCTATCTAAGCAGCCTGAAGTTGAGAAATTAGTTGTATTACTGTGGCATAGCATAATCAATACCAACCCCGGCAGAGAAAGCAGACGCACAGGGAAGCAGGAAAATTTGGAAAGAAAAAAAATCCATATCTTATAAATATATTTTTGGTCTACATTTTCTCTTTCTATGAACATTTTGTTATTTTCTTGTTTGAAATTATTGATTTTAATTAAAACGACAGACTGAGGCTAGTTTGAATCGTTCCGAACTTTCTTTGGATTAAACCTCAGACCGAGTTCTATCTCAATCATCTTTCTATCAACACCGAAATGAATGCAAAACATTGAAGTCCAAAGGTGCTCTTACTTCTATAGTATCTGATTATATTCTAATTTAAATTTTGGATGGGAGCACATTCCTAAGCCAGACGTTTATTCTAAGACCGTTCAAAAAGCTTTTTCCGTGTGAGTTCTTGGCTTTGATCTGTACATGGCTGTGATTGTGATACAGCGTATAAATATATGTCTTAAAGTATTCACTAAGCTTGTATTCATCAGAGTGTTTGCTGACGACGTGCTGCATTGATGGGTGACCTGAACAAATCGAAGGCTGCTTTTCTTTCTTGGGTTGAGTTCATGAGTTCAGACAAATAACTCTGAACACCTCAACAAACTGCACTCACCTTCACAACGATTATAAACTACAAGAAAAGATGAAAATAATCTATTTTTTTTTATTTTCCTGAGATTAAAAACTACTTTATGAATCACAGAACTGGCAACACTTTTGCTATAACTTCTTCTATAAGTTCTTGAGTACAGTAGATTGGCATTGGTGTGAATCCTGATTGCAATATCCGACCTAAAAAATTGTGGTGAATTGCTATGACAACCACTGAAGATGGAAGCCATTGCACTCAGAAAAATATCTTACCCAAATATTAAGATTTATTTCATTTCAATTCCGTAAAAAAAAATTCCCATTTAATTTTTGTCTGATAATTTTAACACAAACCCATTAAATAACCATTACATGATGCATATTCGTTAATTTAATCCATCCATTTCTGTCATGCTTATTTCTGCTGGGGTCGCAAGGGGTGTTGGTCCCTATCTCCAGCTTTTTACGAGCGAGAAACAGGTCGCCAGTTCAACACAGAGACAAACAGGACAAAAAAACATTCACACCTAAGGAGAAATTAGCGTAGAGAAGCCAATTAACCTAACAGTCATGTTTTTAGACAGTAGGAGGAAGCCAGAGTACCCGGAGAGAACCCACACATGCTAAGGGAGAACATGCAAACTCCATTCAGAAGTTTTGGGTAAGTAAGTAAGTTGAGAAAAGTAAGTATAAAAAAAAAAGTATGTGAATTAACAGAAGTGCTGCCTAGGCGTCCTATACTACGTTGTCACACATGGCTGCAAGGCAGCAGTGCTTCCCACTGCGTCGCCTATTAATGTAATATTCTTCAAAATACAGAAATTTGAGGTTTTTGTATGTTAGAATAATTGTATATAAATGTATCTGTGTAGTGTTATCATGCATAAAGCTATGTGCATGTTTTCATAGCCGCCTTTTCTGAAGTATACTGTGATTTGTGGATTTGCTTTTCGGGAGGTTGTGGTTGATTACGAGCAGCACTCGACCTGCTGAACTTTGGTGAACAGCTTCAACAGCTTAAACTTTGACTGAAACCTGAGATTTAGAGGACATGTTTACTGAGACTGGAAGTCTGAGTTCCTTATGTGTCCCCCCCCCCAGTGTAGTCTCAGCTGGGACCACAAATTTCAATAAATAGCGAGGAGAACGCTGGGACTGCAGAGTGGGTTGGAGATTTGTAAACTCCGCAGTCTCTTCCAACTCTCCTTGCGAGTAAAACTAAATTAATTGTGTCTTATTTTAAGAGTAAAAATACTAATACCATTGGCAAACTATCTCATTTACCTACTCAAATTAAGGGTAAATACACTTAATTTAAGACATTTTCACTTATTTCTAGATCGTTTTTCCAGTGGACAATGTATTTAGAATTAATAGTGTATACTTATTCAAAATTAATACTAATTAGTGTGTTTTTCTCAAACAATAATTTTTATTTGTTTAAATTGCATAATAATCAGGTTGCGTTTAAGCAATTTAAACAATACACTATGTATTTGCAGTAAATACACTCAGTGTTAGTGTTGAGTAAATATTCTTTACTAAAAGTAAACACGTAAAACTGATAATTATGTATTTATAATGTATACACTATCATACAAATGAATATGGATCATGTAAGGTTTATTTAATAATTTTATGTTAAAATTATCTAAAATTATTTCAATTGAAAGGTTTCATGTAATAAATTCCCATACATCTTCAAATTTGGGTGAAATATTTCTGTGAGTGATAAAAGACAAATGTAGGTGCTGGAGCCTTAAATCCAGCAACAAGTGTAGCAGTTTCCTTTGGGACGTATAAAATCAATCCAGTCTGGTCTCCTAAACTCGCAGCGGTGACAGGAAGTAACACATGCAAAACATTTAGTGAAATAGGCTGGTCTGCACCACTGCTGCACCTGTTGTTCATTGATATATGCAGTCTTAAGGGCTTGTTTATTCTCCCGCAGCAGTGTGTCGCAGTGAGCTTGTCGCAGAAATTTCTGATTCATGCCACATATTGAAGCATGGTCTGCGCTATGTTATTTCACACCACAATGCATATCTGCATTAACTGCGACACACACACAGACAACCTGGTTTTTGAGTATAAATCAGCCTTAAGTTGATCCCTTGTAGCCTTCCCAGCAGTTGTATGTTTTTTTTTGTTGTTGTTGTTTTTATTTACACAAGCCAATCAGATAATTTGTTTGAGATCTGAGTAGATAAGGCCTTTAGTGTTTATATATACACATACACTCACCGGCCACTTTATTAGGTACACCTGTCCAACTGCTCGTTAACACTTAATTTTTAAGCAGCCAATCACATGGCGGCAACTCAGTGCATTAAGGCATGTAGACATGGTCAAGACAATCTCCTGCAGTTCAAACCGAGCATCAGTATGGGGAAGAAAGGTGATTTGAGTGACTTTGAACGTGGCATGATTGTTGGTGCCAGAAGGGCTGGTCTGAGTATTTCAGAAACTGCTGATCTACTGGGATTTTCACGCGCAACCATCTCCAGGGTTTACAGAGAATGGTCCGAAAAAGAAAAAACATCCAGTGAGCGGCAGTTTTGTGGGCAGAAATGCCTTGTTGATGCCAGAGGTCAGAGGAGAATGGCCAGACTGGTTCGAGCTGATAGAAGGACAACAGTGACTCAAATAACCACCCGTTACAACCAAGGTGGGCAGAAGAGCATCTCTGAACGCACAGTACGTGGAACTTTGAGGCAGATGGGCTACAGCAGCAGAAGACCACACCGGGTGCCACTCCTTTCAGCTAAGAACAGGAAACTGAGGCTACAATTTGCACAAGCTCATTGAAATTGGACAATAGAAGATTGGAAAAACGTTGCCTGGTCTGATGAGTCTCGATTTCTGCTGCGACATTCGGATGGTAGGGTCAGAATTTGGCGTCTACAACATGAAAGCATGGATCCATCCTGCCTTGTATCAACGGTTCAGGCTGGTGGTGGTGGTGTCATGGTGTGGGGAATATTTTCTTGGCACTCTTTGGGCCCCTTGGTACCAATTGAGCATCGTTGCAACGCCACAGCCTACCTGAGTATTGTTGCTGACCATGTCCATCCCTTTATGACCACAATGTACCCAACTTCTGATGGCTACTTTCAGCAGGATAATGCGCCATGTCATAAAGCTGGAATCATCTCAGACTGGTTTCTTGAACATGACAATGAGTTCACTGTACTCAAATGGCCTCCACAGTCACCAGATCTCAATCCAATAGAGCATCTTTGGGATGTGGTGGAACGGGAGATTCGCATCATGGATGTGCAGCCGACAAATCTGCGGCAACTGTGTGATGCCATCATGTCAATATGGACCAAACTCCCTGAGGAATGCTTCCAGCACCTTGTTGAATCTATGCCACCAAGAATTGAGGCAGTTCTGAAGGCAAAAGGGGGTCCAACCCGTTACTAGCATGGGGTACCTAATAAAGTGGCCGGTGAGTGTATACACATATATATGTCTTACTTCAAGGTACTATATTGTTTTTCATACAAGGGATCCGGATCATCTGAAAAGGTGATGTCATAATAAACATCAGATATTTAAACAGTTATTTGGATGTTTCAAATATTCAATTACTTGAAACCAGGAAAATAAAAAATGGCCTCCAAATGGCATAAAATAAGGTATTCTTCTAATATCCAGGGTATGTTCAGTGATAGAAACCAAGTGTTTTCAGGTTAGCTATTTAGTTTGCATCCCTTGAAATCAGGATGCCCTTTGTTCTCTGACATTAACTGAATGTTGTCTCTTTTTCTGATCAAGAGCATCATGGGAGAACATCTTAACAAATAAGCAGTTTTTGCCTTATTTTGCATCAAACACACTTGCATTTTAAAATCCTCCTTCTGATACTATGCAGAGGTTTCTAAAGTATTAATATTTATGACTCAAGTAGAAGTATAAATCCTCATGTTTCAAAATACTTTTGTAGAAGTCAGAGTGTCAACTTAAGCTTTTTACTCAAGTAAAAGTGTAAAAGTACCATTTTCAAATTACTTTAAGTATAAAAGTAAGAGTAATGCAGGAAAAATGTTATTTATAACTTGATTTATAACTTTCTTATACTTAATTTTCTTAGCGTTATAACTAATGGCAACAGTGTCAAATTTAAGGATTATTTATTTTGGCGTGTGGTGAACAACAAGTTGGGGCAGCACCGAGTCCAACCACAAAGAAATTAATTGTCTGGATGAAAAAAAAATGTTGATGGTTTTTAATTTTTTCTTAAATACAAACAGGCCATAAAGAAAATTAACGAGTCTATTTTTAAATTGAGTAGAAAGTCGAGATAATTGCAGAAAATGTAAGGATTAGTTGCCTAAAAGATAATTACTACAGTTAAGTATAAATAGCAAACATTTCTATTTAAGAAAGTACTTGTACTTTGTTACTACACACCTCTGTCACTATGTTGATTTCCTGTTTGTATCAAAAAGAAAATAAATGCAGTGATAAAGTGTTGATGAGTAAATAAAGACACCTCTTTGAATAATTGTTGAGCGGTCCATTGATCTTGATATTCTTTCTGATCATGTTGTAACCACCTGGAAACCTCATGAAGCACACAGTGTGATCCAGGACAGCGGTACTCCAGCCAGCGAGTCTTTTGAGACTGTATCAAGTCCAGAAGCTGCATTGATTTATTGCACTAACATATCAAAAGCTCTTGATCCTGTTGTGAGAGAGTTTCGATCTGCTCTCTGGGCTCACAGCCCTCCCGAGCCGCTCACCTTGACAGTGAGAGTGAATCCTGCTGAGTAGAGAGGGTTTTCTCTGTCCAGCTGGCCGTTCACTGTCAGGGAGCCGCTGATGTAGTCCAGGGCAAAAACACTGTTTGTGTTTCCTACATGGCGATAAGAGAGAGACACATCGCAGACAGTCAGGGAGACAGACAGAGCTGGCATTGCAGATAAATCAATACAATTCCCCAGGCCGTATATGGGAGGTAAGCTGATGGTTAAGCAATGTCTGAGTTTCATGCAATATGGATACAGTATGCTGTGTTTTATCTCTCTCACTACCTGCTTTGGCTGCTCAAACATCTCCATCCGTTCTCGAGCTTTATATTCTACCATCGTTCAAGTTCAGGTACTCTAATATTCCTGCTACAGTGGCACAAATATATGTTTTACTTTTTAAAAACTTTAGTGAGCCGAGAAATGGTTCATATTGAGGTATAAATTTAAACAGAACATGTCCAAATATAACCACAGTGTTATTGATCAAGATGAGCAGAAATTAATGTAAGGCTCTGTATAAGAATGGTCAGAGCAGACTTCTCCTGCTGAGGATACTGAGGTATTTTCAGTGCAGGAGGTGCTCCTAAAGACCTTCTACGACTCTGTTGTGGCATCAGTCATCTTCTATGGAGCTTCGGCTTCATTTTCAGGAAATGCAGCTCTGTGATTGGAAGCCCGTGTGAAACAAAAGGATCCTAACTAAATGATAATCTCTGTTGGATAGTGTTTCCCACCCCGTGCATGAAGCTGGTACTGAACTGGAGAGCTCCTTCAGTGACAGACTGCTGCATAAGGGTGTGCAAAATAATCGTCATGACGATGCATCGCGATTCTAATTTTTGTGATCTACTGCATCGATTCTTGAAGGCAAGAATCGGTTATTAAAAAATAAAATAAAATAAATGAACAAATAAAATACATGAATTTTTGGCGCACATCAGCCAAACCAAGTGGAATACAACTTCCAGTCCAGCAGATGTCGCTGCGGATGTGTTGACACTCGCTGCTTTGTGTCACTGCGACGAGTCATATGAAATAAAACATGGAGGACACTATGAAAATTCGCCCCGCGGCTCCATCACATTTCAAGTCAGATGCTAGGATGCATTTTGGCTTTAAAAACAAAGAAGGTAAAAATGAAATTGATATGATGCACGTCATTTGCAAAAGGGGAAATATACATTTAAATGTTTTTGTTTCATTGGTTTAAAGGACCACTGAGGCCATGTAAACGGCACTGATTATCCTTATTTTGTTATTTTAAGTTTGATGAATCTTTTTGTCAGTGTGTCCACGCCAGTAATATTTGTGTCCAGTATTTGTTATCATGGCAACACCTCCTAAAGTCATTTCAATTAATCCAGCTATGTATGAATTCAGTTGCTTTCAGTTATGTATCAATTGAAGACACTATCCAGATCACACCCAGCCCGTCAGCCACTGGTAATGGCTGTGTCCTTTTCTTACAGTGTTCAGTGAAAATATCGCAATGCATCGCAATATTTCAAGTATCGTGATGCATCGTGATAGAATCCCCACCCCTACTGCTGCACCCTAAATGCACCAGGGAGCGTTATCACAGATCCTTCCTCCCAGCAGCTATAGGACTCTATAACCATCACTGTTCCCAACAACCTCAATAAGTTGTTACATTCATGCATTAATCTTTTTGCTGCTGTAAAAAACAGAATTTCTCCTTTGTGGGACAATAAAGGGATTTTCTACTTAATTCTATTCTATTCTGAAATTTAACAGTGTCAGTTTGCTCCCTATCATGCAGATGTACATCCTTTATCACCCGTGTAGTTAAAAATGGTATTTCCCTTGTAGTTAAATATTTTATTCATCGATTATGCCAATAAATTATTGTTGAAGAATCTTCTCTTATTTATTTGTACTACATTTAATATTCTGAGGATTTTCCATATTTCTGTGGTTCTGATCTCTGTTCTCTAGTTTAAAATAACCTTCTGATCATAGAAATTGTTCACGAGGATAAGAAAACCACAATTCTTCCAGATATTTTGGTTATTAATTAACCATAATTGCAAAACAAATAAAAAAATAAAAATTGGCTTAAGGCTACACAAAACTATATAGAAATACCTTTGTATTCAATTAATTCAGTTCAATTCAGTTTATTTCTATACCTCCAATTCACAATACAAGTCATCTCAAGACACTTTACAGTTCACCAGATCATCCAGTCATATTGATTGAAAGTTGTCTACAATTAGACAATTACAAATATATTGTTCCCTCCTAGGGCTGGTTACCGAACATCGGTTCTTTTATGGTACCGACCGAAATGCTTCGGTTCTACCGAGTATCGAAACATGCCTCGTCTTTCGGTACCAAGTTTCGGTGATTGGCTGTAACACTTAACATGATTGCGTCATCCAGGAAAAATACACAGGTGGTCACGCCTACAGCCAGGGTTCATGTGTATCTGTTGTGAACTGGTTGCGAGCGTCATGGAACCCCTTTAAAATGGCCCCCAGGTCAAAAGTGCGGCTTCACTTTATTAACACTGATGCTAATAGTGCGCAATGCAATACATTGTGCACGGAAACAATTTTAGAGCAGAAAGTTGCTCGGTGTTTCACTGCGAGAAGAGAGGACCGCAGCCAGCGCAGCCATCCTCCTCTGCTTTCAAACTGGACGCAGCAAAAGCAGCAAAATCACGTCTGCTGCTTCCTTTTTGCTGCTTGTACCAGTTTAGTTCCGACGCGCGGCTGAAGCAGCTTTGCTGCTCTGGCTCTCTGACGCGAGTAGGGCGGAGCTACTCTATTCTTTCTCTGCCTTGCAGCTATATTTGCTGTGATCAGTGGGAATAAAATAGTTTCATTATGTTTTTAAGTGGGAAAATCCACATGAAAACTTAATCATTGCAGTCAGTTCATCCAGATTATCATCCTGACTTCCAATAATATTTCTGTCTGAGCCGCTCAGACCCCCACATACCAGCGGTGCGCTGTCAGTAGGAATCCCATTCAACGGGCTTGTTTGTCTCCTGAGAAAGCAGACATGTACATTTTTCTAAAGAAAAGCTGCTAAGTAAAAAGGTCCTCACAATGTAACAGTGAATATTAAACACTGACTTGTTTGCAACTGTTCTTCTTCACTGAACATTTTCTTTTTATATAAGAGGAAAAATGTAAGTGGAAAAAACCAGAGCTTAAAATAAAACTCAAGATTTGTACTTTATTATGTTGTGTAATTTTCTTTTTCTTCGAATTGATATTATAAAACTGGTATCGAAAAAAGTATCGTTCACGAACCCTTTATCGAAGTGAAAGTATCGGTATTGGTACCGGCACCAAAATTTTTTTAACAATACCCAGCCCTAATCCCTCCTCATTTATTTCCATTCCTAGTAAAATGTGTGTGAAGCCTGGAGGTAAATCCAGCTTATAGCAGCAGAACAATCTCACCAATTATATATTAATTTGACAAAAATAAGTGTGATAAAAGTGTGACATTAAAATACGTCTTGATGCTGCTGTTCTCTAACGGTGAACCTTGTATATTATTTTATTTTACCTCTCTTAGCACATCCTCCTCAATCAATGGTGGAAAATTAATAATAAAGCCTCTTCCAGTTGAATTGTGGCTCTGATTCTGGATGTTTGGGCATTACTTACTTGAATAAAATGATTTTCCATTTTAAAACTAATAGAAATGAGCGTCCATGTCAAGTTATATTTGAACAGGTGCTTCCATGAGAAGCACAATGTAATGGTTTAGTGAAAGCCGCTAGTTTGGAAGGAAAACATTCATTAAAAATGTTTCAGATTTATTTATTCCGAAGGGATTGTGGAGAGAATCAAATATTTTGCCATTGGTTGTTTTGTAAAAAACTTTACTTTCTAACACAGACCCCCCCCACCACCTCACCCCCATCCACAGCCAACACACACCAGATAATTATATTGAAATTAAACCTTGCCTTTCAAAGCTTTGCAAGATTCTGCTAACATAATGAAGCAAAAAAAAAGCTCCCTGAGAGCTTTTTGCACGTTTTTTGAAGGCAAGCCAATGAGCAGAACTGCAAACACTTAGATTTTTAAAACATTTTAAAAACAGCAAAATAAATAAAAAAAACACAGGACAGCTTGTATTATTTCACATTTTTATAATCACATAAACCCAGGTTTCAAATTCTTGAAGAAAGGTAAGTAAGTAACTTTACATACATTTTTCAATATGTAATTACCACAATCTATGAAGATATTTCTGTTTAATTATAATATAAATACAAGCACTTAACTTTTCAGGTTAAGGAGCCAAAGAGTGAAAGGCCCTAACCCCCTCTAGTTTTTAGCCAATTAGAGCCCTGTAGGTGAGAAGAACTACAGGACAAGGTTGCTTTCAAGGGTAAATTTACATTTAATCACAGCGTATGAGTTAATGAAAAGTGTTCACTGTTTGCCATAGTCCATGCACTGCCTCAGATAGGAGCATTTCAAATGATCAAGGCTTCACTGTCCTCATTAACAAGTCCGAGTGCCCCTGGTGCTCCCTGCGCTCTTCAGCTAAACTGGTTCATATTTTAGAATAAGTCCCACTTGAGCTCTATTCTTATATTTCTTCATTCCCTTGCCTCCTTTACAAATTACCATCTTGTTAACTTTCGCACTCATCTTTAACAAGTTCTCCTAGGCATCATGAGGCCGTTGGCTGCTCAATTACACCCAGCAGACAGAGGTAGTAAATGAAAATACACACCTTGCACCTCTTCAGCTTTTATATGAGCTTTTCTTTTGTTCGCCCTGCTGCTCTAAGTGGTGTCTCTCATCTCCTTCCATCTATTCAGATGAATTTTTGAGCCTCATCATAAATCTGATCTCCTCACACCTCAATTACAATTTGTGCTAAATAAAGACCACTGCATATATAAAGACCACTGAACATAAAAGGACCACTGCAGGTATAAGGACCACTGCACATAAAAGGACCACTGAACATCAAAGACCACTGCACATAAAAGGAAAACTGCAGATATAAGTACCACTGAACATATAAGGACCACTGCAAATATAAAGACCACTTCGGGTATAAGGACCACTGCAGGTATAAGGACCACTGCACAAATAAGGACCACTGCACATATAAGGACCACTGCACATATAAGGACCAGTGCACAAATAAGGACCACTGCACAT